CAAGGATGAATCTGGCAAAAACCTGTTACTACAACGCTTTTTCTCGAAAAAGGATTGCTCAGATGTAGCCATTGCATGGTTTATTGGAGGGAAAATCGAGGCAAAAAACCTTGTTTTGTGTAAGTCCTAGTAAGACTTTGTGATATACATGTTTCTCTGAACATAGTTTGCATGTTTTATGAATAAGCGTTCAAAAAGCCCACATTATGTTTTCGTGCATACGCGCGTATGAACGGGCCAAATGTGCGAAGGACGTTATTGTGAGTTTCTTCCAAAATGGCGCGGTCGTCCAGTGTTAATTATGCGTAAGTCCTTTTTGTTTCAGGTAAAGAACTTGTAATACTGCAGTATTCGGCGCAATAAGAAAAGTTTCGCCCATACTTTCCCATGACGGACAAAAGTTGAGGTAAACTGTACCATGCATGGATAGAGCGTAAAGAGCTCAATCGGATGGTGATAAAGCACTCTTGCTTGAGAAAAAGTAAAAAACAAGCATCTCAGCTCTCGAAACTGCTAATGACCATATCATCATATCATCTGAGTAGCGATGCCTGTATAGTTCTTGTTGCTGCTAGTTTTGTGGCATTAGGATAAACTATCTCGTATCAAATCCGTGTTCTTCACCAATTAGGATCATACCGGGACATACCATCAGACCACCATCACATACCGTTGTACCATCCACTTGCAAAGAATTAGAGAACACGTATCTTCGTTTTTCAAAGTGCCAGTGACCATGCATGGTTCACTGCGCAGGCACTGTTCTAACGATAAGTTCATGATTTGTCAAAGTGACTAATTTTGCATTTCAGCAAGTGGAAAAGTATTAGATATGTTAATGCTCCTATATATTAGGTTGTGTAATAAGTTCTGTCTCATTTTTTCTTGAATTTTCTATCAGTAATAATCACACTATCTGGAAGTGTATATGCTACTGAAAGGTCTAAGTCTGCTCTGCGAATTAGTATTTCATCCCCCAACTTAGCGGGATGTTGAAAACGATTATTGGCATCAGAAGAAAAGATCCAAAGAGACAAAAAATCCATTTTTCGACATCTTTTTTCTCTTCAAACTTTCCGTTTTCCATTGGTAATTTTTATTCAACAAGCTTGACAAAAAACAGTACAATCTATTAGACTCTTATGGTTGTAATAGCATCGTTTGTGCTTGATTCCTTCGTTCTACCGACTTTTTTGTGCCCTTTTTTCAGAAGTCGGCAAAACAAAAGTTTGCTGTGGCGATGTTGCCGCCTTGCCTACCTATGCTGTGTGCCCCTCAAACATTGAATTTTTGAGTAACTAATTCATGGATTCGATTCGATGGTTTTATAGTCAAAAACGATCCCTACTGGTTTTCTGGATTACCGTCCTTTCTCAGGATTGCCTTCCGATGCCCAAGGTAAACATTGAAAAGACGTTAGAAAGAAGACTTTTTCTGAGACTAACGGAAAAACTTTTTTGAAACTTTTCTACATTTTTGAACTTCTGCAGAAGCTACAGCATCCTTTCCTTACGCTCGGCAGGTTTTTCGAGCTGTTTTGTAAGCATTCTGACCTAAACGGGGTGACTCAAATTAGTTATCGAAAATGGATTTTTTCCCCCATTGGTTTTTGAACTTGATGCTGGGAAATTTTTAAATTTCATTGATGAAGGAAGCTGAAGATTTTGGTAGAGCAGACTTAGAGCTTTCAAATGCATATGTCATCTTGCAGAATACCGTGCAAAAAACTGTGAAAAAATCGAAAGCAAAAATGGGACAGAACTTATTACACAACCTAATAGGTAATATGCTAACATATTCTAACATTTTTTAAGATTGGAGAGTTCAATCTTCTTTTTTTTGAACCTACAGTAATTTCCTAAGTGTCCCAATTTTTTACCGTTCACCCTAACGGAGACATCCGTGTCTTAAAATGTTGAGGTGCCACAGCCATAATGCAACCGCTCTTTAAAGCAAAGTTTTGAATGCACTGGTGATTCGGAGAAAGTTGAAGTAGTTCATAGTGCCACCACAGTTCTGTCAAAGCACTTTCACTCTATGGAATTCGCCAACAAAGCATTGAAACTCGCACTTGTTCGAGGAGATGTATACTTTGGAAACTTGAAACGAAACATCATTGAAAGAAGAATGCTTTCACAATATCTGCGGTAATTCTCTCACATGGGAAATTGAGGCACATCTCAAGTTTTAGAGTTCGTTACAACTACAAAGGCCCAACCTCAAAATCTATGATTTATGTGAAATCAAGCCGCTCAGCTATGAAAGTTATCTCATAGACATTCGTCTCTTTCGAGTAATAATTGAATGGAATACTTGGCGTTACGTTCAATTAATTCACAGTTAATCAAATTTCCGAAGTCGATTTCCGAGTAATATTCGAAAGCCTAATAAACAATATCATTCCTTCAGCCTATCGCACAGTCGGCTTCGGCCCAATGGCAACTTTGGGTTCATAGCGCAAACTCTCAGGAAATTCAAGATCAAGCAAAAGCATGGGAGATTAGCAACGAGGGAACACAAGTGAAAATGCTATCAACAAATGTCGGCGTCGCAGATTAGCACCACATTCACAACTTCAACAGTCCCAGCTCACTTTAGTTGTTTACTAGCCCCAAAGGATGGAAGGCTTAGCTGGCTTAAGTACTCATTACATTCAAAATCATCCCTAATGTATAGTTGAGAGATTTATAGCCATTGGGTATGCCTTTCATAGCTGGGGCGACGCTATGTATGACAATATACAGGGTGTCCCAAAAAATTTACCGACTGTTTGATTGTAAATAACTGTCTTGTAATGAAGTGTTTTAAGAAGCTTTAGGTACCAGTTTGTAGAGCGAGATCAGACTTAGATTTAGAGATGAAGCGAATCATCTATCGCTCTTCATTACTGTAAGATTACGGTTAAGAACTTCCAGCATTATGGAACCATCATGACTTGTAATAAGCGGCTTAATCTGAAGTTGTGTGGAGTTTGTCCGTTACGAAATTACAGTGAGGAATGATTTACATTGCTTAAATGCATGTGAGAGTTGCAAAGCAAGTAAGGTTCATTTTTGTAATTACTTTGCGGTTTCCTCCATCAAAGAATGATGAAGGTCAAGATCATTACGTAAGTTTACCTATACTTTTCAGATGGCCAGTGCGAACCTCTGCGAAGCAGAGGTGAAGCACTGGTTATGAAATATACTAGCTTACAAAATTTTTTTCAAAAAAATCTGAAAAAATGTGTGTACCGGGGTTTTCGCGCATGCTCATTCTACCTAACAACTTTTTACGAGTGTTTTCAGCTTTTTTGACGATGTTATTACATTTCTGACAAATGCTGGGAATTGATTGGTTACGATTTACCGGGGACAACTTAGGAAAGAAGCGTCACAGTAAAATGGGAATTTCAAATTCGAAATCAGCGGCTTCCATTACCGCAGTATAAGAATTTTTGGCTTGTTTGGTTGTGTTCCGAGCAGAATATAGCCTCCAATAGCTTAAAATACCTTGTCGAAGTTCGTACCGTAATCCTACAGTATGAAGAGAGATAGATAATTCGCACCATAAGTAAATCCAAGATTAACCTCGCTCTACAAAATAGTACCTAAAGCTTCTCGAAACACTTCATTACGAGAGAGTTATTTACAATCAAACAGTGGGTACATTTTTTGGGACATTCTGAATTTAAGGTTTTAACTAGTAAAATGCCAGCTGTGCCCAGCTTCAAATCTAGTTTTCTGAACTCAGTTCAAGGGATTAACGAGTACAAAACCAAGATGACCAGCATTGAACCAGATTCAAACACTCACGTCTGGCGTTTTCTGCTCCATTTTTTTAGCCTAAAAATTCGATAAAATTATAATTGGCTTCAGTTATATTCCCAAACATGCCGTTTTGCTTCTCAACTATCATTTATAATGGACAAACCACAGGTAAACTGCTGCTGTTTTTATTCCTTTCTCAACAAGGAGTAAATTTTACCTTTTGCCGATGCTCGTAAACTGGTTTGTGCTTTGCTGGGTCGTTTATCCTGCAACCAAGTTCAACTTCTACATCTATGCCAAAATTGATCAAGGAGTTTGCGCACCTCTGCATTATATCGAAATAGTTTTCGTTCAAACCTTTCATCTGGAGATCGAGCGGTAGAGGAGCTGGTTGATTTCTGTTCCTTATAAAGAGCAGTTATGGGTATGGGCATCATGGGTTTCGCAGTTCTCGTGTCTGATGTCTTTTCAACTAACATAGCAGGTTTTGCAGTCTTTGTTGTAGGAATTGCTGTAATAGAATCCTTTTTTATATCTGCACTGGGCACTTTTCGTGACTCACTGCGAGGTTTGCAAACAGGTCTACTGAAAGCGTCTTCAGAACGACTTGGTACAGCAGTTCTTATATTCTTTGACACTCCCAATCGTACGTCGCAATGACCTCCTTTGTTACCCACATCTGAGCTGCTTGGTTTGTGATCATTTTGTGCATGAGTCAAGGAAACGGATCTAACTGGCTTTGCAACTCTGATACAATACCACCCGTAATTTGTGAAAAAAAAATGGCGGCGGCACTTAACTTACGCGGCGCCGCCGAAGTTAGGTGACTTTTTGCCGCGTCGCGCGGCAAAAGTCGGCGGAAAAGCGGCCAAAGTCACCTAACTTTGTCGCGCAACGCCGCGCAACGCCTAACTTCTTTATAGAAAGACCTTATCTTGATCCAAAATTTATGAATTTCTATATATAAGAGTACCATTCAACTCAGCTCGACGAGGCGCATCTTCCAATATACGGATGTGCATAGTTGTGGGATATAAGTTTCTTTCCTGGAATTTTAGTGTAAATGGACCATTCAGTGTGCTTATTCCAGAGGCTACGTACACATTCTATTGAGCACAGCAGAAATAGGGCAGGTATAGTTTAAGAGCTCATTCTGCATGGATATATGTGAAACTGGGCAGCTCATTCTGCATGGATATGTGTGAAAGTGGGCTTTTCTCGGCGAAGTATGACGGGTCCCAAAATGCAGGAAGACAAAGGGAAATGGTTGGAAATCGCATGAGAAGCACATATCGCGGAATGCCGCGCGTGCTGCGCAATGTACAATACCACTCACAGAACGGGAATTGCGCGAAATTCCAGAAATTTCGCGATTCCGGATTATCGCAAATTATGCAGCGCCATAACTTCCTTCGGAATTAATATATTCTAAATTCGAAAGCAGCACTGTGTTCATCTCGTAAAGGCGAATCTTTCTACATACGTCATGTCATCTATATCTTGTTTTCAGTTTTCTCAAATTGTTCTGAGGAGGTCCCTTTGCAAGTATGTAACGCAGCGCCTATCCAACTTGAAAGCTTCCAGTAAGCACCATTTGATAGTGCTCTTCTTGTGCATTATAGTGCGCTAGTAAGCTGCCGCAGACTTCTTTTCAAAAGAGAAAAAAGCGTTGGTAAATTCTGGAAAAATCACTCGTTTCCAGATTCTACTCGCCGTAACTTTCTTTGGAGTGGATATTTTCTGAATCCGAAAAATGCATTGTGCTCAGCTCATCAAGGCAAATCTTTCGGTATGCAGAATGTCCTTGATATCTCGATTTCAGTATTCTCAAAACTTTCTGCGGACGTCTCTTCGCAAAGGTGTGAAGCAGCGCGTATTGCCCCCAGTACATTCAGAAAGAAATTTTCGATAGTACTTCTTTTGTAGATTATGGAGCGCTAGAAAGTAGCCGCACACTCCTTTTCAAAGGAGTTAGAAGGGCTGGTGAATTCTGGAAAAATCATGTCCTTCTAAATTTTTCTCAACGTAACTCTAAAATATGAAGCTCTCTTGCTAAGCAGATGTGATTTTCGTAACCAGCAGGTCGGATAACCCTTAAGTGCAAGTTTTCCAAGATGTTCAAGTAATTTCATTTTTTCTCGTTTTACGCTCTGAAGCTCGCCGGTGGATTTGGTCAAAATGTCGATGATCTCGAATTGACAGGAAACTTCGCTTACAGAGGTTTTCGAACACGCTCTTTACGAAAATCGTGGTCTTTGAGGATTACAGGGTCTTTTTGGTGAGATACGGTGAGGTGACTGTAACTGCATCACGAAAGTGCGTAAATTGGCCCGCACTTCTCGCGTACCTGTCAGCAACCTTGCCTGCTTGCTTTTCTCAGTCAAAGTTACTAGGAACTGCGCTACCGAATGGTGCATGAATCAGGCTCCAGTCTGTAAAAATCACCGAGTTACGAGCCTATGAAAACACGTCCTCATGAATTTTGCCCAAAATCTAAAGATCGCAAATCTCGTCGAAATTCCACCGTGAGCGCTTGTACAACACGCTGATCAAAATCTTTCGCGTCCTTAATGGATCTTATTGTGTTAGATTTAGTAGTTTGAGTTGTAGCCACTGAAATAGCTCTGATATTCAACTGAGCAGCTGAAGCATATGCAAGTACCATATATTCAAGACAGTGGGAGTTTTTGGGCGAAGCGAACACAATATCCGCAATGCGAGTGTCATACAAGCGCTCACGGTGGAATTTCGACGAGATTTGCGATCTTTAGATTTTGGGCAAAATTCATGAGGACGTGTTTTCATAGGCTCGTAACTCGGTGATTTTTACAGACTGGAGCCTGATTCATGCACCATTCGGTAGCGCAGTTCCTAGTAACTTTGACTGAGAAAAGCAAGCAGGCAAGGTTGCTGACAGATACGCGAGAAGTGCGGGCCAATTTACGCACTTTCGTGATGCAGTTACAGTCACCTCACCGTATCTCACCAAAAAGACCCTGTAATCCTCAAAGACCACGATTTTCGTAAAGAGCGTGTTCGAAAACCTCTGTAAGCGAAGTTTCCTGTCAATTCGAGATCATCGACATTTTGACCAAAATCCACCGGCGAGCTTCAGAGCGTAAAACGAGAAAAAATGAAATTACTTGAACATCTTGGAAAACTTGCACTTAAGGGTTATCCGACCTGCTGGTTACGAAAATCACATCTGCTTAGCAAGAGAGCTTCATATTTTAGAGTTACGTTGAGAAAAATTTAGAAGGACATGATTTTTCCAGAATTCACCAGCCCTTCTAACTCCTTTGAAAAGGAGTGTGCGGCTACTTTCTAGCGCTCCATAATCTACAAAAGAAGTACTATCGAAAATTTCTTTCTGAATGTACTGGGGGCAATACGCGCTGCTTCACACCTTTGCGAAGAGACGTCCGCAGAAAGTTTTGAGAATACTGAAATCGAGATATCAAGGACATTCTGCATACCGAAAGATTTGCCTTGATGAGCTGAGCACAATGCATTTTTCGGATTCAGAAAATATCCACTCCAAAGAAAGTTACGGCGAGTAGAATCTGGAAACGAGTGATTTTTCCAGAATTTACCAACGCTTTTTTCTCTTTTGAAAAGAAGTCTGCGGCAGCTTACTAGCGCACTATAATGCACAAGAAGAGCACTATCAAATGGTGCTTACTGGAAGCTTTCAAGTTGGATAGGCGCTGCGTTACATACTTGCAAAGGGACCTCCTCAGAACAATTTGAGAAAACTGAAAACAAGATATAGATGACATGACGTATGTAGAAAGATTCGCCTTTACGAGATGAACACAGTGCTGCTTTCGAATTTAGAATATATTAATTCCGAAGGAAGTTATGGCGCTGCATAATTTGCGATAATCCGGAATCGCGAAATTTCTGGAATTTCGCGCAATTCCCGTTCTGTGAGTGGTATTGTACATTGCGCAGCACGCGCGGCATTCCGCGATATGTGCTTCTCATGCGATTTCCAACCATTTCCCTTTGTCTTCCTGCATTTTGGGACCCGTCATACTTCGCCGAGAAAAGCCCACTTTCACACATATCCATGCAGAATGAGCTGCCCAGTTTCACATATATCCATGCAGAATGAGCTCTTAAACTATACCTGCCCTATTTCTGCTGTGCTCAATAGAATGTGTACGTAGCCTCTGGAATAAGCACACTGAATGGTCCATTTACACTAAAATTCCAGGAAAGAAACTTATATCCCACAACTATGCACATCCGTATATTGGAAGATGCGCCTCGTCGAGCTGAGTTGAATGGTACTCTTATATATAGAATTCATAAATTTTGGATCAAGATAAGGTCTTTTCTATAAAGAAGTTAGGCGTTGCGCGGCGTTGCGCGACAAAGTTAGGTGACTTTGGCCGCTTTTCCGCCGACTTTTGCCGCGCGACGCGGCAAAAGTCACCTAACTTCGGCGGCGCCGCGTAAGTTAAGTGCCGCCGCCATTTTTTTTCACAAATTACGGGTGGTATTGTATCAGAGTTGCAAAGCCAGTTAGATCCGTTTCCTTGACTCATGCACAAAATGATCACAAACCAAGCAGCTCAGATGTGGGTAACAAAGGAGGTCATTGCGACGTACGATTGGGAGTGTCAAAGAATATAAGAACTGCTGTACCAAGTCGTTCTGAAGACGCTTTCAGTAGACCTGTTTGCAAACCTCGCAGTGAGTCACGAAAAGTGCCCAGTGCAGATATAAAAAAGGATTCTATTACAGCAATTCCTACAACAAAGACTGCAAAACCTGCTATGTTAGTTGAAAAGACATCAGACACGAGAACTGCGAAACCCATGATGCCCATACCCATAACTGCTCTTTATAAGGAACAGAAATCAACCAGCTCCTCTACCGCTCGATCTCCAGATGAAAGGTTTGAACGAAAACTATTTCGATATAATGCAGAGGTGCGCAAACTCCTTGATCAATTTTGGCATAGATGTAGAAGTTGAACTTGGTTGCAGGATAAACGACCAGCAAAGCACAAACCAGTTTACGAGCATCGGCAAAAGGTAAAATTTACTCCTTGTTGAGAAAGGAATAAAAACAGCAGCAGTTTACCTGTGGTTTGTCCATTAAAATGATAGTTGAGAAGCAAAACGGCATGTTTGGGAATATAACTGAAGCCAATTATAATTTTATCGAATTTTTAGGCTAAAAAAATGGAGCAGAAAACGCCAGACGTGAGTGTTTGAATCTGGTTCAATGCTGGTCATCTTGGTTTTGTACTCGTTAATCCCTTGAACTGAGTTCAGAAAACTAGATTTGAAGCTGGGCACAGCTGGCATTTTACTAGTTAAAACCTTAAATTCAGAATGTCCCAAAAAATGTACCCACTGTTTGATTGTAAATAACTCTCTCGTAATGAAGTGTTTCGAGAAGCTTTAGGTACTATTTTGTAGAGCGAGGTTAATCTTGGATTTACTTATGGTGCGAATTATCTATCTCTCTTCATACTGTAGGATTACGGTACGAACTTCGACAAGGATTTTAAGCTATTGGAGGCTATATTCTGCTCGGAACACAACCAAACAAGCCAAAAATTCTTATACTGCGGTAATGGAAGCCGCTGATTTCGAATTTGAAATTCCCATTTTACTGTGACGCTTCTTTCCTAAGTTGTCCCCGGTAAATCGTAACCAATCAATTCCCAGCATTTGTCAGAAATGTAATAACATCGTCAAAAAAGCTGAAAACACTCGTAAAAAGTTGTTAGGTAGAATGAGCATGCGCGAAAACCCCGGTACACATTTTTTCAGATTTTTTTGAAAAAAATTTTGTAAGCTAGTATATTTCATAACCAGTGCTTCACCTCTGCTTCGCAGAGGTTCGCACTGGCCATCTGAAAAGTATAGGTAAACTTACGTAATGATCTTGACCTTCATCATTCTTTGATGGAGGAAACCGCAAAGTAATTACAAAAATGAACCTTACTTGCTTTGCAACTCTCACATGCATTTAAGCAATGTAAATCATTCCTCACTGTAATTTCGTAACGGACAAACTCCACACAACTTCAGATTAAGCCGCTTATTACAAGTCATGATGGTTCCATATGCTGGAAGTTCTTACCGTAATCTTACAGTAATGAAGAGCGATAGATGATTCGCTTCATCTCTAAATCTAAGTCTGATCTCGCTCTACAAACTGGTACCTAAAGCTTCTTAAAACACTTCATTACAAGACAGTTATTTACAATCAAACAGTCGGTAAATTTTTTGGGACACCCTGTATATTGTCATACATAGCGTCGCCCCAGCTATGAAAGGCATACCCAATGGCTATAAATCTCTCAACTATACATTAGGGATGATTTTGAATGTAATGAGTACTTAAGCCAGCTAAGCCTTCCATCCTTTGGGGCTAGTAAACAACTAAAGTGAGCTGGGACTGTTGAAGTTGTGAATGTGGTGCTAATCTGCGACGCCGACATTTGTTGATAGCATTTTCACTTGTGTTCCCTCGTTGCTAATCTCCCATGCTTTTGCTTGATCTTGAATTTCCTGAGAGTTTGCGCTATGAACCCAAAGTTGCCATTGGGCCGAAGCCGACTGTGCGATAGGCTGAAGGAATGATTTGTTTATTAGGCTTTCGAATATTACTCGGAAATCGACTTCGGAAATTTGATTAACTGTGAATTAATTGAACGTAACGCCAAGTATTCCATTCAATTATTACTCGAAAGAGACGAATGTCTATGAGATAACTTTCATAGCTGAGCGGCTTGATTTCACATAAATCATAGATTTTGAGGTTGGGCCTTTGTAGTTGTACGAACTCTAAAACTTGAGATGTGCCTCATTTCCCATGTGAGAGAATTACCGCAGATATTGTGAAAGCATTCTTCTTCAATGATGTTTCGTTTCAAGTTTCCAAAGTATACATCTCCTCGAACAAGTGCGAGTTTCAATGCTTTGTTGGCGAATTCCATAGAGTGAAAGTGCTTTGACAGAACTGTGGTGGCACTATGAACTACTTCAACTTTCTCCGAATCACCAGTGCATTCAAAACTTTGCTTTAAAGAGCGGTTGCATTATGGCTGTGGCACCTCAACATTTTAAGACACGGATGTCTCCGTTAGGGTGAACGGTAAAAAATGGGACACTTAGGAAATTACTGTAGGTTCAAAAAAAAGAAGATTGAACTCTCCAATCTTAAAAAATGTTAGAATATGTTAGATATTACCTATTAGGTTGTGTAATAAGTTCTGTCCCATTTTTGCTTTCGATTTTTTCACAGTTTTTTGCACGGTATTCTGCAAGATGACATATGCATTTGAAAGCTCTAAGTCTGCTCTACCAAAATCTTCAGCTTCCTTCATCAATGAAATTTAAAAAATTTCCCAGCATCAAGTTCAAAAACCAATGGGGGAAAAAATCCATTTTCGATAACTAATTTGAGTCACCCCGTTTAGGTCAGAATGCTTACAAAACAGCTCGAAAAACCTGCCGAGCGTAAGGAAAGGATGCTGTAGCTTCTGCAGAAGTTCAAAAATGTAGAAAAGTTTCAAAAAAGTTTTTCCGTTAGTCTCAGAAAAAGTCTTCTTTCTAACGTCTTTTCAATGTTTACCTTGGGCATCGGAAGGCAATCCTGAGAAAGGACGGTAATCCAGAAAACCAGTAGGGATCGTTTTTGACTATAAAACCATCGAATCGAATCCATGAATTAGTTACTCAAAAATTCAATGTTTGAGGGGCACACAGCATAGGTAGGCAAGGCGGCAACATCGCCACAGCAAACTTTTGTTTTGCCGACTTCTGAAAAAAGGGCACAAAAAAGTCGGTAGAACGAAGGAATCAAGCACAAACGATGCTATTACAACCATAAGAGTCTAATAGATTGTACTGTTTTTTGTCAAGCTTGTTGAATAAAAATTACCAATGGAAAACGGGAAAGTTTGAAGAGAAAAAAGATGTCGAAAATGGATTTTTTGTCTCTTTGGATCTTTTCTTCTGATGCCAATAATCGTTTTCAACATCCCGCTAAGTTGGGGGATGAAAATACTAATTCGCAGAGCAGACTTAGACCTTTCAGTAGCATATACACTTCCAGATAGTGTGATTATTACTGATAGAAAATTCAAGAAAAAATGAGACAGAACTTATTACACAACCTAATATATAGGAGCATTAACATATCTAATACTTTTCCACTTGCTGAAATGCAAAATTAGTCACTTTGACAAATCATGAACTTATCGTTAGAACAGTGCCTGCGCAGTGAACCATGCATGGTCACTGGCACTTTGAAAAACGAAGATACGTGTTCTCTAATTCTTTGCAAGTGGATGGTACAACGGTATGTGATGGTGGTCTGATGGTATGTCCCGGTATGATCCTAATTGGTGAAGAACACGGATTTGATACGAGATAGTTTATCCTAATGCCACAAAACTAGCAGCAACAAGAACTATACAGGCATCGCTACTCAGATGATATGATGATATGGTCATTAGCAGTTTCGAGAGCTGAGATGCTTGTTTTTTACTTTTTCTCAAGCAAGAGTGCTTTATCACCATCCGATTGAGCTCTTTACGCTCTATCCATGCATGGTACAGTTTACCTCAACTTTTGTCCGTCATGGGAAAGTATGGGCGAAACTTTTCTTATTGCGCCGAATACTGCAGTATTACAAGTTCTTTACCTGAAACAAAAAGGACTTACGCATAATTAACACTGGACGACCGCGCCATTTTGGAAGAAACTCACAATAACGTCCTTCGCACATTTGGCCCGTTCATACGCGCGTATGCACGAAAACATAATGTGGGCTTTTTGACGCTTATTCATAAAACATGCAAACTATGTTCAGAGAAACATGTATATCACAAAGTCTTACTAGGACTTACACAAAACAAGGTTTTTGCCTCGATTTTCCCTCCAATAAACCATGCAATGGCTACATCTGAGCAATCCTTTTTCGAGAAAAGCGTTGTAGTAACAGGTTTTTGCCAGATTCATCCTTGCTTGCTTTCAAAACAGCTACACAGAGTTTCCACCTTCAAAAACGTAATTGACATGTATGTACCACATCAAAAACGGACAAACTACCCAACTTTGCGACCAAAACTTCTGAAGAGCTGCCGCGATGCCCTGTGTTCTGTAAGACAATCAGGCCACCAATAGTATTACTGCATAGAGGTTAACTTAAAACTTTTCGTTTACACCCAAAAAACTAGCGTGCGTATGCGCGGATGCACGAAAATGCTTACCGGGAGTTAGGGCGTGCATACGAGGGTATGCACAAGGTCGTCAACGTGTTAATCCACCACTCGAAAAAGCATGAAGAGCTTTTTCAAATGGTATGTCTTTTGCTTTATTTTACGGTATAGCAGCGCAAGATAGAGGGATGTTTAAAAACTCTGCCCGAGTTCTTCGAATCGCCTGCCTAAAGGTTGTGAAAGAGAAGCGATGACACGTTGCTGAAATTATAGGCAAACGTCGCTCATGTGAGTAAAGATTTAGTTGCAGCCCGCTTATGGTGGGTCAAAAAAAAGATTTCAAAATGTGATAAAATTCATGCTGCTCATTGTTATCCGTTCAGTATCATTAGGTCGTTCCATAAGTTCGTAGGGTATTCATAAATCAACAAAATGATGAAAATTCGTCAAAATTCAACCAATGGTGTATTTTCCGCTTTGCGCACAACTTTTTGCCACCTTGCAGTGAGATTTTCAATGCCATTTTCCCATAACTCAGAAGGTCTGGTACCAAAAATGTCAACTAACCAGCGCCTAAGGTTGTAAATCCTGAACAAGCACCGTCCATACGGTTTGCAAGAGAGGGACGAACGATCATCTGATGAGGCGACTGAGGAGTATAGCTGATACCATTATGCCCGCGTTCAGTTGCAGGACAGTTTTGACGACGTTCTCCGTGCGGAGCCATATTTTGTCGTGCGGAAAACTCTGGACCTGTGTTTTGCGTCATTCAGTAAGAGCTTGTTCAAATGGTACATTTGGGTTATAATCAACTGTTTTGCTCTTCTCCAGCAATTTTCAATGCATACAGGATGTCCTGTCAATCCCGCACAAATCTTGCTCAAAAGACACCCTATTTAACCTTTGGCTTTTAAGAAAATCCAATTCTTTTATGTCTCGTATCAATGTGCAAACGTCAGTTTTCACCAACCAAAAAAACCTGTGCTAAAATCACCTCATTGTAAGAGAAAATGAGCAGTCGAAAATGTTTTTTTGTCTTTTCAAAATTCCACTCTTGGAAGGTGAGAAATAAAAGTGCGCCAGCTTTTCATTGAAATCATAAGCTTCTTTATGAAGGAGATGCTTAGTTTTTTCCAACGATATACGCATTTTGCCGCAATCAACCGTCTTTAGAGAAAGGAGCACAAGAGTTAAAACGCCACAAGCTTATGGAATGACCATATACAGAGTGTTCCAAAAGTATGTATACACTGTTTGGTCGTTAATATCTCTTTTCTCAAGAAGTCTTTTGCCTACCTTCGGGTAGCATTTTGTAGAGCGAGGTTCAACTTAGATTCGCAGTATGGAAAGAATCGCCAGTCACTCTTCATTACTCTAGGATTACGGTAAGAACTTTCAATTTACAGCATCATAGTGGATTGATCGTGTTTCAAAAATAGTTTCCAAAAAATCTGAAAAGCGGTGTAACAGGGTTTTCACGCTTCCTGATATCATCACTCAACTTTCTAGAGTCTTCAAAGCTTTTTAAATGGTTAATTACAATTTTAGGGAGCATTTGAAAAACAACTATTGCGATTTACTTGGCATAACATATGAACGAAGCAATTGCGTCAGAGCGCAAACTTTAAATTTGGTTTTATCGGCTCGAATCAGCCTAGCATAAGAGTTTCTAGGCTGTTTGGCTTGCTTTATGAGGCAAAATAGGGCCCTTAATGGTTCACAACCTTTCTTGAAGTTTTTATCGTAATCCTACAGTAATGAAGAGCGATGGGTAATTCGCTCCATACTGTGAATCTAAGGATAAGTTAGCCAGCTTTACAAAATGGTGCCTGAAGGTATGCTAAAGTTCACTTGGGATAAAAAATATCAACGATCAAACGGTGTATACATACTTTTGGGACACCCTGTATTATATATTCCTTGTATAAACCGAAAAGACTTGGGCAGCAGCAACTTATCACCTGTCTCTACCCCAAACGCCCCCTTCAATTGCTTAGGTAAAGTGGTCGATAGTTTTACAGCGCCAGATATCATATTCTGCAAAGATTTGCACTGCGACTACGAGATAATGATGTAAGAGAAAGAGGCGCAGGCAGAGCGTAGCGAGAGATTGCGTTCGCAATCATAAAACGATCGCCTTCGGCAATGCCGAATGTGTTTAAAATGGCTGCCCATGATTTGTCTCCGGTTAAAGTGAGCATGGTCATTGTAGTAGAACAGTGAGACAGCAGCGAAATTGTAGACAGCAGTTTCGAACTATGATATTTTTAGTTTCTCGGAAAGGATCTTTGATGTAATAATACTGTCCTACCTTTCGCCGTCAGAACATGTACTCCAATCGGCTTCCCAAAAGACTCTGAAGCTGAAACTCCACAGAGAACTTTCAGGTTTTTTGAATAAGTTCAAACAAGAACAAGCAGTTGATCTGTTGTCGACATGCAGATCTAATCTTTAAGCAAAAATCTTGCTTTTCCACCCATTTCGCGTAAATCTTGGCATCTCATTTTGATTCCTCAAGAAGAAAACTATGCCACTAGGCTATGGTCTCGCTTGTAAAAGTACTGTTGGTACTTTGCAAAGCTGAGTTGTGAATGCTGGGGAATTTCTCAATTTGAAGAGCGTTTACACTGCAGAAAGGCATGCACTACAAGTATAGTCTCATCGAACTCTGTCTCGGATGTAACTATGTATAATATTGATCGTTAATCGTAAGCAACGAGAAGAGCCAGCCATAATAGCCTATCATTTTTTTGCAGTGTTTGTGGAAAAATTCAATAGTGTAATCGTATGTCTACACTCAAGTTTAGTTTCATATAGAGAGTACGTAAGCGTGGGAGATCAGGCTCTGCATCTCCCTCGCATAGGTGCTCTTTGATCGATCGAAGGCCCCGCCCTCCAGCCGCCAACTCCAATGAAACAGAGGGGGAGGGTACACCATCTTAGCTTTGGATATAGGTCATTTAAATTTATTTTCAGTCTGATTCGCTAAAAACAGCGCGCGACATATCTACAATAAGTCCTTCGGTGAGAAACAACTTATACTCAAACCTGAAGAACTACATACAAATCGTTGTTTTAGGAAGCGAAGAAATACTCGTTCCTGAACAAAAAGGAGGATAACACCGTGTACGAGATATCTGAAATCTCTGACTTTGATCTTTATGTAAGTTTTCATATCGCTCAAAAAAGTCGCAAAGATTTTCTTAAGAGGCTATGTATGTTGTAACTTGTTGAGCTTTCCACCAGATTGGTGATCCTTGTTTGGATGCACTCTGGAGACGTTTTGGATTACCGCCGAAAATTCAATTTTGAATTGAAAGGATGAGCGCGTATAAGAGGTGCATGACGAAGGCGCAGTATCTTTGAGCGCGAACGCGTCTTTATTAGCTGCAGAGCGCATGAGTCGCAGGATTTATAATGGTGCGGATACGCGCGCGTCACGTTCGCGCCCGCTCAGCTAATACTGCTTTTGCGCCTTCGTCATGCGGTAGCCTTTAGATATCGTTATTGAGTTGGCGCAGTACAGTCGAGTAGATTTTTTTTCATAGTGTGCTTGCACGGAAGGTGAAATGTGGTAAAATTTGCGTGTGAACAAGTAGCCACGCCAGTAATGCCAGCCTTTTGCGCGCGCAATTGGCCGGCGTCACAGGCGCAGCTATTTGTTCACGCGAATTTTACCGCATTTCACCTTTAGTGCAAGCACACTATATTGAGCGGGAAACCTACTCGACAGAATCTAACAAGGCTTCGCAGCTTCTAAGAATAAATTGAGAACAGGGTACTGGATATAAAAGGAAGTTGGATCTCAGCTACTGAGCGGTCTGCCACACCTTAGCATCTGTTTAAGTAAGCATTAATTTTTGGTTCACTCACCCATTGAAAGCGTTTCTGAGTCTTGGGGCGTTTTCATAGAATAGTTTACTCATGCGATCGACAATCTCGGCTCTAAAGGCGATAAAGCCGAAACGAGAATAAAGAATCACCAATTCCAATGTACAGCCACAACAAGCCACAACAAGCATCTTACTATGCGAGACTATGCTGCAGTCGAACTTGATGCTTAGATGCTGCCTTATAGCTTACGGCTTTGCTGCGTTCTGCTGAGCAATGTTCCCAGCCGAGACCTTCGCGATCTGCAAAAGTCCTATAGCTTTGACGATGGCAGATTGCTCCTCTCCTTGCTAATCAAATCACTCACCTTCGTCACAGATTAAACTCTGCAATCTCCTTGCAAGCCACTCGCGCCTTTGGCGTATCTTTCAAGAATCAAACTGTAACGCTTTTCCGCCGAAGCGTTGGTAACAGAACTCTGTGTTGCGGTGTTATGGGAGAAATTCCAGAACTCGGATAACACTGCGACACTACGAATAGCGAAGACATCGAATAAGATATATATAAAGTGCGGTTCATAATTATACGAACACCTTAAATTTTGAAAGTTTTTAGACTTCTTGGAAGAAACTCAAAAAACCGTTGGTACCACGCGATAGAGCACAGTCGAAAAAGGTATATGATCCATAAGAATGGAGATCGATGTCAATCTTAGGAGTGTTTTTGCGCCCAATGCGAGTTTTTAGCGGTTCATAATTATACGAACACCTCAGACAAAGGTCCATTTTTCATTCAAGGCTGCAATTTTTCAAGTCCAAATTTTTTGTAAAGTTACAGTAACAAAGTCTGACATATCTGCTACACACTAAACCCAGTGCAGTTCAAAAAGAGGATCTCTACTTTTTTCAGATGGCTCTAAATGGTTTTGGAGTGATTGCGCTCCAAAAACATCCGTTCTTCTGTAGTTCACGCACACTAATTAACTTCTACCAAGGCTATGAGATAAATTAAGCTTCTTCGATAAGTATTTTGTTTGGGGCTTGGAAAATTTTTGCGTTTCCGTGCCATTTTTCAAGCAAGTTCCAAACTTACGCTAGAGTTAGCACGATTTCAAGCCTCTAAACTCAGCTTCTGAAGCCCTACAATGAAGTAAGCTTATAGTATGTAGAATACAAGATAGTGTATTTGGCTAGAAAAAATCAGCAACATTAAGCGTTTGTTTCGGCCACGCAGACGTCATTTAACCAAAACCACTGTTTTTACTATTGCAATCACACATTTATTTGGTTTGTAGCTCCATAGCCTCGAGAACAGTTCTACAAAAACCCAAAAACTTTGACATGAATACATTATTATGCAAACAATGCAGCTGCTTTATATTAAGTGTTTGCGCGGAAGAATGGCTGAGTTTTGAGGCTCGAAATCGTGCTAACTTTAATGTAAGATTGGAATTTGGTTGAAAAAAGGTACAAAAACGTATAGATTTTCCAAGCGTCAAACAAAATACCTATCGAAGAAGCTTATTTTATCTCGTAGCCTTGGTAGAAGCTAATCAGAGTGCGTGAACTACAGAAGAACGGAAGTTTCTGGAGCGCAATCACACCAAAAGCATTTAGAGCCATCTGAAAAAAGTAAAGATCCTCTTTTTAAACTGCACTGGGTTCAGTATGTAGCAGATATGTCAGACTTTGTTACTGTAACTTTACAAAAAATTTGGACTTGAAAGATGCAATCTTGAATGAAAAATGGACCTTTGTTTGAGGTGTTCGTATAATTATGAACCGCTAAAAATTCGCATTAGGCGCAGAAACACTTCTAAGATTGACATCGATTTCCATTCTTATGGGTCAAATACCGTTTTCGACTGTGCTCTATCGCGTGGCACCAACGGCTTTTCGAGTTTCTTCCAAAAAGTTTAATAACTTTCAAAATTCAAGGTGTTCGTATAATTATGAACCGCACTTTATATATATATATATATATATATATATATATATATATATATATATATATATATATATATATATATATATATATATATATATATATATATATATATATATATATATATATATATATATATATATATATATATATATATATATATATATATATATATATATATATTATATATATATATATATATATATATATATATATATATATATATATATATATATATATATGCCTGTGTTATATGTGTACTTTAAGCAACCATACCATCAACAACACCAAAAATAGACCGTTCTTAGAAATGTCCTTTTCTCTAGGCAACCAAAAAGAAGCAACCGCAACCGGATCTCAAGAAATTGGAAGCATATTTTGCTCTGCCTCAACCAGCTGAAGCTAAGAGCAAATCGAAGGAATCTACAGAATCAGGGAAAAAATCAAGATCCAAAACTGGTAGTTCACATTCCAATCCTCCAGCAAAACTCAAGTAATTTTAAGGTGGAGTACAAGTTAGGCAACTGCGTACAGCTAGAAAAGGAGGAAATACGCAAGACGACAAGTCGTCGAAAAGGAAACTCCTCAAGAAAGTCAAAGCACGTGCTATCAAAAGCGCTAGGAGTATATCTAGGCGCGAACTTGCAACGTCACCGAAAAGTACCAAGAAGAAATCAAAGGAGAGCCTTACACCTGTTAGCAAAAAAATAAGTGCAACTAACTTACTATTGCACAAATTTTTGCGCAAGAAAGAAGTCAGTGTACGTCAGGAAAAGGCCGAGACCCCGAGAAAGACTTCTCAAAGGACGTCGTGACATATCATGCTTACATGCAAAAACATCCCATTTAATGAACTCGCAACTTTCGAAACAATAATCAGCACAAGGAATAAACGATTTTGTATTACATTTCGTATAACATTTGCAAAAACGCCATCAAATCCAGAAAATGAGAGACGTTCTTATCGCAGACAAAACGGGAAATCAGTTTCAATAGCGGAGTCTTTCGTACGGCAAACTGCGAACTTCAGGGAGTTCCTCAAGCTTCAGCATTATTTGAGCGATCCATCGAAGTTGTTTCGATTAGCGTTGAAACGTTAGGCCGTGGGCATACATTTTCATTCGCGACGCGATTTGGCAAATATCCAACTGTTCATAACTCGTTCTAAGGGTTTTTTTGAATGTATGGAAGGTAAGGCATTCTATCAACTTACGAAAGTTATATGTGTTGTACCTTTTGGGTCTGCCAGTATTGTATGGAGACATCTGGCAAATTGCCATATCGCGTGGCAACTGAATTCGCGTTAAGTATGCCCACGGCCTTAGGTGTTTTTATTGGTGGCGATTGGCGATAAGAGCGTGGGTGATTAAGGTCCGAAGTCATCTTAAAGAAGATTCACAAAGCCGGAGTGGCCTGTACCACAAGGCCTGTATACCTCTGTTAGAAGATTGAATCGGATTCCGGGTCTGCCCAATACGCTCCTGGCAAAGAAGTTATGAGCGGTTAATGGAAACAATGAACGCGCGGCTGGCGAATGGTTGAATAGAACTTTTGGACGCAATTAAAGAGGTCGAGTGTTAGACTCTCTATCAATTTCTACATAATGCGAGACTTAACACAGCCGTGAACCCTTTTATTTGTTTCAAGAAAACTCATGATCTTCCTGCCGGAAGGGCAACCCTTGTAATATGCATCATGGAGTGTTCAGTCATTCCGTATTTTTGCCTTTTCGGTTTATGACAGCATAGGGAAATTAAGCAAACCAAAACCAGTATGCGTAGACAAGCCTCGTTATTTCTCCGCGTCTCTAAACCCGCGCATTATTCTTGCACGAGGTGGCCGTACATGCTATTCACTAGCTGCACATACTCGACCCTCGGCCCTTCAGTAAACTACGATAGAATTACCATGCCCTATTTCCGTACATTAATTCCCTGTCGCGGTCCCACCTCCCTATGCCAGTACCCTGCCTCCCCTATGTTTTCTTAGGGCCGCATGCACTAACATCCCCGCGGGGAGGGGATCGCAACTTAAAAGAAAGCTTCATATTTCGAAACAGATACCTGGATTCACGTTGTGTACCTATCCGTAAGTATTCCTACTACCCTTCACTATGAACATGTTGAAGAGGAGCGAGAAGCTGTACGAGCCGCATTTTCCAGCTTTTGTATGACCCCTGATGATCCCCGGCGCTTTTCTTTTAGAGTCATTTTTCTTTCTCCGAAGTAAACGAAAGACCTCCAAAGTTGTGCAGATTATCCAACCCAACAGTGCTAAGCATGTTCGTGATAAGAACGAATGATGTTTTGAAGTCATGAAATTTTCGATGATTCACAGGTCGAAATTTGAGGTTTACCGAAAAATTCGACTTTCAAAAACTCATTTGCTTCTCATCAGCAACATGCTTAGCGCTGTTGTGTTAGATGTTCAGTACAGCTTTGGAAAGTTTTCGTTAACTTCGGAGAAAGAAAAATGACTTTAAAGAAAAGCGCCGGGGATCATCAGGGATCATACAAAAGCTGGAAAATGCGGTTCGTACAGCTTCTCGCTCCTCTTCAACATGTTCATAGTGAAGGGTAGTAGGAATACTTACGGATAGATACACAACGTGAAATCCAGGTATCTGGAGTTTCGAAATATGAAGCTTTCTTTTAAGCTGCGATCCCCTCCCCGCGGGGATGTTAGTGCATGCGGCCCTTAGTTAGCATGCCCGCCTACCCCAGCCTTGTAGCTCAAACTTTGCAAAAATCGATGAAATCGATATCGGTCGATAACGTAGAGGAGCCTGTGACACCCGCCGCGCGCGAAGTGCATGTGCGCCAAGTTTGGTCCGGATCAGTTCAGAAATAGACTTGTTCGATGAATACGAACAGACAGACATGCACATAAACAGACATTCATCTTATACATAAGATTCTGTAACTGAGAACTCGGAACCGCTTTGCACATATTTTC